AATTTGCCTTAGTTAGGAATTATATATAGGGTTTTCATCACAGACTGACATCAGCTATAGTGCCAGAAATTTATTTAGCCAAATGGATGAAAGGCTTTTGCGTTAAAATCCGAGATCTATTATCTTATACCTGATTGTTTCGTCCACAAATTATAGTCTCGCCGTTTTATTTGTTATAGCCGTTCAATTATCGCGTTTTGTACAAAATTCCCTATGAACCGATCGTACGTTAGCATTAAGCACTGAAGTTGGTGCCGTAACCTTGAAACCTCTAAAACGCCTCTGATTGGCTCGTCCATAAATTAGAGTCTCGCCGACAAATGATTGATATTGATCATTATTTATTTTAAGCATTATAATACACCTTTTAAACAATCTTCAAAATTAGGCAGATTTTTTTTCAGTATTTGGTTTTATAAGATTAAATTACTTGGTTTAACTTTTGTCATTGTTTAAATAACTTCCTTTTAACATTGTGCTTAAACTAGTAACAGTGACCTTTAGTGATACCACATGACAATGTCAAATGTTTGCATTAAACATTAGGCTTTGATACACTGTGTTTGTTTCAGTCAGAACGCCTTAATTATCATATGATACATATCATATTTCATTTAATTATTCTAATAGAATCATAAATTTCTTATATACTGAATGACTTCAAATCAATTCATTCTTTGCTTTTCTTAATCCTCTGTAGTGTCGGTTGACACGTTAAGCTTATATGGCTTATTCTAACTTTCGGATAGCCCAATCTATTCATTCTATTTGAGTCACATTTAGACCTTGTTAATTATCTGCTTATCAATCGTCACTGTTTTTATATGAGCGCATAGGTGTGTATACACTTCTTATCCGATTGCTCATCACATGTCTGCAGCCTGTTTTTGTGTAACTATAAATATTGATTAACGCTTAATCAAATGGAATTGGCTCATATGTCTTCTTCATCGCGCGTCGTTTTGCTTCTTTCTATTCCATTCGCTTCATGTACAAAATATATGTATCTAAACGTCCATTCTCTTTATTTGGCTTATTCAATTCCGTTATTGACTAACGCGATTTAAGTCATTGGTTATATACGAGGATAGGCGATAACAAACATTCATATGTAAGCAAAGATGGATAGTGGCTAGCAGTGGAATCCAGGACGCGCGTTTCGTCCTGTTTGGGACTCGTCAGCTGGATGTACCTGCATCTCAGAGTTGATGTTCACTCTGGGACTCGAACTCAGTACCGTCCGCTTCAAACGCCATCGCGTTATCCACTTAGCTACTTAGCTATCAGGACTCAGTAGCTAAGTGGATAACGCGATGGCGTTTGAAGCGGACGGTACTGAGTTCGAGTCCCAGAGTGAACATCAACTCTGAGATGCAGGTACATCCAGCTGACGAGTCCCAAACAGGACGAAACGCGCGTCCTGGATTCCACTGCTAGCCACTATCCATCTTTGCTTACAATGCTTGTAAATTAAGGCAATATCGAGGCATACGCACAGTATGCACATATGCCAATAAGAGACTGATCAATTTCAGTCCAAAAACATCAATGGGAAGATTCAAATAAAACAATATCAAGTGAATTAAAAATTCATATGATCTACTTGGAGTCACATCCCGGGCCACTAAAGTGGAGAGCCCTTCGACGAACATCGTCCAGTCTAAATGTAGACAAAATAAAAGGCCCCACTAAACCTCTATAATCATAAACATACACTTGAAAATAATACACTGCCAAAGAAAGGTAAACATTATAAAGTACATTATGTTATTGACAATATAAATTCGAAAATCTTCGTTCACATTACCAATGATAATTGAATATAATTAGAAGGGGGTTTTGTGGAGATTTTTAGTAATTTAATAATTGAATTCATGAGTCAATTAAAGCTAGATCACCATGGAAAACTTGGATGGTTGTTTTGTTCTGGCATGTGACTCCTCAACAGTGTGAACCTATGATCCCGCCCCGCAGGATTCGAACACTGAACTCAAGAGTCTTATACTAGAACAAAACAGCCGTACAATACTTTCATGTTTTTCAAGGTGTTCTAGCTTTAATTGACTCATAAATTCAACTATCAAATATTTATCAGTGAAATTGGGGCTCTAAATTCTATTAAGTATCATATGATCACTGAATATTGTCTAAATACAAACTACATTATCAATTGATTTAGCTTATAAATTAAGGTTTTCCTCCTGAATTGATAAAACCTATTTAATTCTTTTTAAACTCATGGTAAACATTTAAACTTCGCGTAGATATAAACATGTTCAATCAAAGATCATGAATTCTCTAGTTGATACATTCATTGAGTACATATTTATACGATTATTGATTCATTCATATTCAGATTTTAGGTAAATAGATTCTAAATAGTCATCATTGTAAAATGTAACAAGATTATAACTTCTACGCAATTTCTATGGAAAGTTTTCCATCATTATAATAGTTTATTTCTTCTATCAAACATCCTCTATTCATTAGATTGTTCTATGATGTAATAATTCGATGAATTTTCTCTACATATTATATTTGTAAATGAATTATTCAAATTAGAGTTAAGACTTTTGTTACTTTTTCAAAATCTTGGCTGTGAATGTTATTGGTATAAATGGAACTTTTTGAATGGAGTTTTGTTCTTTGAGCTGGATGGTTTGATTGTGGAGATTTCATCGTTCATCTGAACGACATCGTCATCAACACAAACTTCAGAGAGAAGTGAAGTGTTCGAATTTGTCCATATATGGTTCACAGCTTGTCCTTTAGACCTTAATTACCAGTCAAATCCCATGATATTTCCTCACTTACAACAATGCACATAGACAACTGCGGACACTCATTTGACTGGAAAAATGTGGAAATCTTGGATAGAGGAAATTCCAAAAACACCAGAGAATTTTTAGAAGCTTGGCACTTAGGTCAATCAGCAATCAACAAGCACATTGAAATCGATCCAATGTATATATATATATATATATATATATATATATATATATATATATATATATATATATAGAGAGAGAGAGAGAGAGAGAGAGAGAGAAGAGGCGAACATAATATCTGAGTGTTTACTTGAATGATTATCCAGACATGTGTTCTACGTAATTTAATGTGTTTATGGAAACAGGCAAGGTATCTGGTAAGCAACGGTATGCTTGTACACAAAGTAGTCAGTTATAGAATTCAGTAAATAGATCTTCTTAAAACTAGAAAGAAAATAACTTTTGACATGTTATATTACTTACTTACCTATACCTGTCACCCCTCATCGAGGAGCACAGGTCAGCCACCAGCATTCTCTATCCGACTCTGTCCTGGACAATCTTTTTCAGTTCTTTTCACTTGCTATTCATCTTTTTCATGTCTGTTTTCAATTCCCGACGCAGTGTGTTCTTTAGCCTTCCTCTTTTCCGTTTCCCTTTACGATTCTAATTTAGTGCTTACCTCGTGATTTACTTTGTTGATTTTCTTAATGTACGTGCTATCCACTTCCAACATGATATCCTAATTTCCTCTTCACATGGAAGCTTGTTTGTTCTCTCCCACAGTAATTTTACATTTTATATTGCATATTTTAATTCATTTGCACTCAGTTATTAGTATGAGTGATTTTAATAAAGCGGACAAAGTAACAACATAACACGCCATGATTATTATTCGAAGTTATTTCACTATGCTCGTTGGTCATTATGTAGCTGTTTAAATACTGAGGCAAGCAGTTATGAATCCAAATGTATTGAGAATTTAACAGAAGGTTGAAAAAAAAATAAGATTTAATTCTCAGTCTGTGTACAACATATCGATGGAGTATCCAGTCTGGGGATAGCACAATCTCAATCACCGGTTGTATTATCATTTAAACATAGTATACCGTAGAAAAAGAAAAGATTTTTATTCCGCTATTATATCTATTTAACTTTCATCATAGACTAATTCAAATGTATTTACAGTAAGCTCTGTTGAGTGTTTATGAGGACAATAATGGAAATTTCACGACTGATAACTATCATACTAAACTAACATATAAATGAAAAAGTATAAAACTTTTGATTCTGTTCACTAAGTGCATTTTCTGTTTAATACAGTCTATTTGGAAATGATTATTTTCATTAGTTCATCTAACTTACTGTTACTATGATGACATTTTTATGATGGAAAATGTATTACAAAGAGTAAGCTTTCGAAATGGTTCTATCTAAAGTTGTATCTCAGATAATCTAACATACGAGACATTTTTTATTCAGCTCATCGTTATTATTATTAGAACACATAAATATTAGTACAAAGTGGCACCGATTATATATGCGTCACACAAGTCACTTAATTTCAGCCTGTGCTGAAACACTGCCTGGGTGCTCAAAACGAAACAGATGGTTTTCTCAGTGGGCCACACCCCGAGACATTGCTTGAGGGTCTAGTCCACAAGGCAGTGGACCAACTTTAAGAGATGCAGTCTCATAGTAGCTGGTGACTAACCATTGGTTCATAAACCATTTGTTTCTTTAGGATCCTGCATCCCATATGCACCATTGGTTAGGAATCAGGATTTTCCATATCCATGAGCGCGGTTAAAGCTCCAGACATTCGCTTAACTCATCCACGTTTCTCCGGGCAAGACGTGAAGTAAGTCCTAGGTGTAACAGACTAATAGAAGCTTAGCTTATATCTGTTCAATTTTAACAGTACAGGTCAGATGTGTTGTTGGTCAAGTCTCGAATATTAAGCTATAGAAGGAATAGTGGGAGTGGAAATGGTAAAATCATGATTGGTTATTTTAACGCGTAATGATTTTGATAATGTTTTGTTCTCTGAATTGGATGATTTGATTGTGGAACTTTCATCGTTCTTTTGACCGACATCATCAGCACAAACTTCTACCATCTATCTTATGTTTTCCATCAATTTATTATTGAGTTTTGAAAAAAAATTGTTCCGCTTTTTTTCCCCCTAGAACAGAATATCAATCTTCTTTCTTCTGTTTTCTTCCTTAATAGATCTTATCGTTGGCAATTATTTCGTGAAAAAATTTGGTCTGTTATAGATATATCACCAAGACTTATACATTCACGTTTTAGTAATTATAGACATAGAAAACAATATACACCTAATGAATTATTCTGTAATGATTATAGTTCAACAAGTGATCAATCAAATTCCAATGATAATCATAGTTTTAATTCAAATCAGAAATCAATAAATACAATTAATCATTATTCTATTAGTAATGAACAATCAGATGATAGTTTAGAATCAAAATCATTTCATTTATCTACAACAATTCAATCAATTAATCATTGTTGTCATGAAAAAATCAATAAATATACAAAATGTTCTAGTTGCTATCCAATGAATAATCATGAATCAATTTATTTAATATGGTTAAGACATTTTTATTTTATTTATGAAACGTTAATTATAACATCCGCTGTTGGTGTATTTATGTTATCCACAGTGAAAGAATATCGTATCCCATTTTATATGAATATTACTGGATATACAGATGCTTATAATGATACCATTATTGATTATACAAATAATCATTTAGAAATTATCACTTTATTTAATCAATCAGATAAAACAAATTATAGTTATTTTACATTACCATCTAAATGGCTTGTACAAATGGATATTTTCTTTTCTATAGCTATTACTATTGATGTATTAATACGAATGATCTTTTGTCCATGTTTCTTAATTTGGTTCTTTTCATTATCTACATTGATTGATATTTTATCCTTAGTACCATTCTATTGTGAATTTATCTTTTATGAATTAGTTTATACTTATAATAATGATAATCATTATCATACTAATCCAGATTCAATATGGTGGTTAATTCGTATTCTCAAAGTAGAAGAATATTTTATCATTTTAAAAGTATTTGTTGTATTAAGATTATTTCGTTTATTAAGACGACATAGAGGGACAAGGGTATTATTTTATACTATACGGACAACTATTACAGATTTATCGATTATTATTATATTAATTTTAGTAAGTGCATTATTTTTTGGTGCAGCAATTTATTTTGTGGATCCAACATTTACCGATATACCAAAAGGTTTTTGGTGGGCATTAATCACTATGTCTACTGTTGGTTATGGAGATTTAGTACCAAATAATACAGGAGGTTATATAGTTGCTACAGCATGTATTATATTAGGTACATTATTAGTATCCTATACAATACCTGTATTAGTGAATCATTTTTTATTATATTATGCACATGCTGATCAATTATCTATGGTGAAACAATTACATCGTACTGCTAAACGTAAAATACGAAATAGAAAAATGTCACGTTATTTACAAAAAGCTTTATTCAATGCTAAATCTATAGTGAGTTCAACAATGACAAATGTTAATAATAATAAAACATAATGACACAGAGACACACACACACACAAACACAAACATTTCATCCCTACTTGTTTTCTACAATCAATGATCATCTTCTTCATCTATCCTTTACTCATCTTCAATCTCTTTTTCTATATTTATTCAAATCTTTAAATAAACAACCATCAATAGTAGAAGGGTATAATGTAAAACAAAAAGAAAGAAAACAAAACAATACATGAAACACTCATTCACAAAATAACTACATATACACACATGTATATTTCGCTTGGATACTAACTCATCCCTTTCGATTATTGTACATTGTTTTCTTCTTTTTTGTTTTCTTTTTCGTTGTTGTTGTTAGAATCAAATGCTTATTTTTTCTGGTCAGCGTTTCTTTTTAGCGAGTTAGTTTTCTACGGGATGGGGTCGCCAACTTCATACCCAACCCTCCTCTTTTATCCGGGCTTGGGACCGGCAGTAGCCCCCGGAGAGACTCCATGCGGAGTTAATCCAATGATTTACTCTCATCATAAATGATAATTATTTTTATGAATATAAATCATTTCAATCTATTTTATGAATGAAACTTTGCATTATCAATGATATTCTATTAAAAGTTCAATGATTTTTTTAGTGTTTTGATCAAATTGTAATTGTATAGAATCATAGTAACAAATGTATCACTAATGATTATTATTACAAAAAAAAATCGAATTTAGGATCACTTTTATAAATGGGTGATAGTTTAGTTTACAAATCAATATGATTCAGTGTTATCTAATTCGTTTCTTTTCTTTCTTTCTTTATATGATGTATTATAAATAACTTTTTTTAAAATAGAGATAAAGTATAAATCGCTCTGTTTATAAGGATATCAAAGGTGTCATTGTTGTTTCTATTTTGTTTAAAACATTTCCTAAATGTTCACAATGGATTGATCACTGGTTGCTGATCAATTATCTTCTGTGTCAGATCCTTTTTAGTGCAGATCGGATTCTATTAATTAAAGTGCATTGTAGTCACTAGCCTAGAGGACTCGACATTTCTAAATGTTTTCACACATCAGACTCTTGATACAATTCATCGTTTCACGTTTCATCATTTTTTGCATAATCTTAATTGCAACAACAGTTTATTACAAATGAATAATTGAACTTTAACAACCAACAAGAAGAATTAGTAAAAATAAACCATAGTTTATAAGTTTCCAATCACATAATAAGATGGACGCAGAATAGCACTAATTCAGTAGCATTAGTACAAAACAGCAATCCAACTCTCCCTAATTCTTAATGATTGTTTAGCCAAAATTATTTCTTGATGTAAACTACACAGTGAATAATCTCCAGAAATTTTGTTTTCGGCACGAATTGTATTCTATGAAATTATGGTGCATTGTGGTATAGTTGTTCATATATTTAGGCATGAGAATTTCTAATTAACTATTGTTCTGAGATACAGGTTTGCGTAACTATTCCTCTTGTTTTTCCCCGTTGCTTCGTGGGAGAAGATACGGTTCGACAGCCGATCAGCGACTGCATAGCAAATTATTAGACGAAGATATGGATGGACCAATCAAACTTAAAATAACGAATCTTGGATTTTTGCACGAAATAGATTCATTTATGTAACTTAGTAGGCTTTTAGCATTACAACCGGTGTCAGTGCATCATAAGAAATTTAGTTCTGATTTTTAAACGTAATTACCAGCTCTGACCCCTAATCCCAAAATCTCACTCTAATTCATAATCCTGTTTTGACCTTAGTGAATAGTTGAATTCTCTTAAGGCTACTTTATTATCTCCCAAAAATGGCTCATAGATTATAGTCTGTTCACGTTTAACCAAGCAATTCCGATACCTTATCCATAAGGTCAAACAAATAATCACTGGACTCACATGTTACCATCACCAAGTTATATTAAATAGCCTAGTATATCAAAGACATTAATAAGTTACGATCCAAGTTCCCTGTATGTCAGAAGTTATGACCAATGTCCATTCACATATCCTTATGGTTCACTTAGCTTTCTTAGTGACTATAATTCGAATTTGATTGAATTCAATTCATTTCGTGTTGGTTCATACATTTCCAATGTTCAAAAGGTGCCAAATATTCAGCATTTTCCGAAAATTTCCCCCTTCATCTAGTGCGTAAATATTGTTTACTTACTTACTTACTTACTTACGCCTGTTACTCCTCGTAAAGAATTATAGGCCAGCCACCAGCATTCTCCATCCAACCCTGTCCTGGTCATTTCTTTCCAGCTCTATCCAGTTGTTATTCACCCGTTCGATATCTGCTTTTATTTCCCGACGTAATGTGTTCTTTGGCCTTCCTCTTTTCCGTCTTCCTTCAGGATTCCAAGTCAGGGCTTGCCTCGTTTGATGATTTGCGTAATCTATGTCCTATCTATTTCCATCGTCTTTTCCTAATTTCCTCTTCAGATGGAAGCTAGTTTCTTCTCTCCCACAAAAGTCTGTTGCTGATCGTATCCCACCAATAGATGTTTAGTATCTTTGGTAGACAGCTATTTATAAATACTTGTGCCTTCTTGATGATGGTTGAAGTAGTTCTCCAATTTTCAGCTCCGTACAGTACAACAAATTATTTTGAAGTTGGTATTGAATATTGTGATTTTGATATTAGTTGAAAGTTGTTTTGAGTTCCATATATTCTTCAGTTGTAGGAATGTGGTCCTTGCTTTGCTAATCCTCGCCATTACGTCTGCATCTGATCCTCCTTGTTCATCGATGATGCTTCCCAGATATGTGAAGGATTCTACATCTTAAAGAGTTTCGCCATCAAGAGTGATTGGATTGCTGTTCTCTGTGTTGTATTTGAGAACGTTGATTTTCCCCTTGTGTATGCTGAGGCTTACTGATGCAGAGACTGCTGCTACACTGGTTGTCTTTATCTGCATTTGTTCATGTGTATGCGATAGGATGGCTGGGTCATCTGCGAAGTCCAAATCGTCTAACTGATGCTGAGCTGTCCATTGTATTCCGTGTTTTCCCTCAAATTTCGAGGTCTTCATAATCCAGTCGGCCACCAGAAGAAAGAGGAAGGGAAAGAGTGGACGGCTTTGTCTGACTCCGGTCCTTAATTGGAATGCGTCTGTCATCTGTCCATCATGCACGACCTTGCACTGCAGTCCGTTGTATGAGTTCCGGATAATATTGACAATCTTCTCAGGAACTCCGTAGTGTCGAAGAAGTTACCATAATGTTCCCCTATCTACACTGTGAAATGCCTTTTCGTAATCAATGAAGTTGATGTAAAGTGACGAGTTCCACTCAATCGATTGTTCGACAATGATCCGTAGTGTCGCAATTTGGTCTGTACACGACCGATCCTTACGGAATCCAGCTTGTTGATCTCGAAGTTGGGCGTCTACTGCATCTTTCATCCGGTTCAGCAACACTATGTTGAAGACCTTCCCTGGTATTGACAGTAGTGTAATGCCTCTGTAGTTTTCACATTTGCTCAGATCTCCTTTCTTTGGAATCTTGACGAGGTGTCCTTCTTTCCAGTCCATCGGCACTTGTTCCTCCTCCCAAATCTTTTTGAATAGAAGGTAAAGCATGCTTGTGTTTGCTTCGATGTCTGATTTCAGTGCTTCAGCTGGTATGTTGTCGGGTCCTGCTGCTTTCCCGTTCTTGATTTGTCTGACGGCCATTCTAATTTCCTCCGTCGTTGGTGGGTTGACATCTATAGGAAGATCTATGTGTGCTGCTTCGATGTCCGGTGGATTGATTGGAGCCGGCCTATTCAGGAGTTCCTCGAAGTATTCTACCCATCTGTTCCGCTGTTGTTGAATTTCAGTGATTGGCTTGCCTTCTTTGTCTTTGACCGGCCTCTCTGGTTTACTGTATTTCCCTGCTAGTTTCTTCGTTGTATTGTGAAGCTGTTTCATATTTCCTTCTCTAGCAGCTTTTCTGTCGTCGTTGCTAGTTCTTCAACGTATTTCTTCTTGTCGGCTCTAATGCTCTTCTTCACTTGCTTGTTTGCTTCTATGTATTCAGCTTGTGCTTGGATTTTCTCTGTTCGTGTTCGGCTGTTGTTAATTGCTGTCTTCTTTTCTTCCATTCTTTGATCCTGTCCAATGTTTCTATAGAGATCCATTCCTTATGATGGTGTTTCTTTAGGCCCAGAACTTCTTGACATATTGAAGTCAATGCTTCTTTGATACCTTTCCAGTTGTCCTCCATAGTAGTTTCTTCTTCCTTCAGTAGGTCTTGTAAGGCTTGGAACTTGTTGTTGAGAGCTATCTTGAATTCATTGAGTTTGTCAGTATCTCGAAGGAAGGCTGTATTGAACCTTTGTAGTGCTGTTTGTCCACTTGTCCAGTTCTTTTTTAGCTTCAGTTTTAAATTGGCTACAACTAGGTGGTGATCTGAAGCTACGTCAGCACCTCTCCTGGTTCTCACATCTTCCATTGTCCTTCGGAATTTTTTGTTGATGCAAATATGATCTATCTGGTTCTCTGTAGTGTGGTCCGGTGAGATCCATGTAGCTTTGTGTATACGTTTGTGTGGAGATATTTTGCCGCCTATGACCAATTTGTTGAATGCACACAGATTTGCAAATCTTTCTCCATTTTCGTTTCTCTCTTCCAGTCCACGTCGTCCCATGATATCTTCATATCCGATGTTGTCTATTCCGCCTTTGGCATTTAGATCTCCCATCAGAATGGTGAGGTCCTCTCTTGGGCACTTCGCTATGATTGATTGCAGCCGCTCTTAGAATTGATCTTTAATGTCGTCATTGCAATAATTGGTGGGTGCATAACATTGGATAGCATTCATTGTAATTCCCTCCTTCTTTGTTTTGAATGATTCTTTGATGATTCCGACTCCGTGAGATTCTCATCCTACAAGTGCATTTCATGCTACTTTGGACAGCATTAGAACAACTCCCTGAGTGTGTGGAGCATTTTCCTCTTCGTGACCGGAGTATAGCAGCATCTCTCCCGTATTTAGCCTTTGCTGTCCAGCTTGTGTCCAATAGGTGTCGCTGATTCCCAGTACTGCCAA